ATATTGGGGTGTTGCTTGTCCCACGACTTTGGGGGTGCCACCAGCCCCACGATTTTAGGGGTTCTGCTAGCCGCAAGCCCTACGATTTTGGGGTGCCACTTGCCCCACGATTTTGAGGGATCCGCTAGCCGCATGCCCCACGATTTTGGGGTGCCGCTTGCCTCACGATTTTGGGGTTGCCGCTAGTCGCGTGTCCCACGATTTTGGGGTGCCGCTTGCGCCCACGATTTTGGGAGTGCCGCTAGCCGTCAGGTTCACGACTTTGAAGGTGCCGCTTGCCCCACGATTTTGGGGGTGCCGGTTGCCCCACGATTTTGGAGGTGTCGCTAGCCCCACGATTTTGAGTGTGTCGCCAGACTCACGATTTTGGGGTGCCGCCAGCCCCACGATTTTGGGGGTGCCGCTAGTCGCTTGATCCACGATTTTTTAATGGATTTAAAATGGAATACCCATACAGAGTACCTTGAGAAGATACTGAGATATATTATTCCAAAATTCAGGTACTTCACAGATATTCTGGATAAGAAATACCTATATAATCTTTATTATACTCTTGTTTATCCTTTATTACTTTACGGAATTTTGGCCTGGGACGAGTTATAAATAATAATTACAAAAAGGTTGATGTAATCCAAAAATTAATTCTAAAATTGATCCTCCATAGGGAGATTCCTTATTCAAGCCATTCTCTATATATGGGGGCTCAACTATTAGATTGCAGACAAATTTATAACTACCGAACACCATTCCAATCAAAATTCATTACACAACGATCTCTGTTTTTCTTGGGACCAAAATTCTATAACTTCATACCAGAGTTATTAAAAGTAACTAAATCAATTAGATCATTTAAAAAGGAACTAAAAAAATTGATTTTACAACAACCAAGATGTTCCATCCACGAAATTGTAGATATGAAGTCATTATTAAAATCAATAATATTTTACTTACACCAACATCCATACTTTTACTTTGGTTTTAATTGTCTGGATATTTTTCCTGACATCCCCATAATAATTCAATTCACCATTCACCAAATTATATAGTATTTACGTTTTTTTTTTCAAACACTGACTGTACTTTTAGTTTTCATTTTTAACAAACCCAAACACAAGTGCAAACTTTTTTGGGTGCTTTATGTTTATTGTGCACAATATTTAATATTTACCTGTATTTTGTGACAATAAACATTATTATTATTATTATTTGTAATAAAGCGCGTTCGCCGTTTGGCAATGGTTCAGCCATTTTGTTTTATAAATATATGGGTTGACCGACATCACGATGACTTCCTGGCATCCTGTGAAAAAGCAAAGCGCTCGTTATCAACTGCTACAAACAAATTCTGAACCATCGAAGGACTGGAACGTGTTTGAGATTAAACGGCATTTTTAGTTCTTTATTAAACACTTCGATAGACCTTATACAAATGCTCCTGAAAAATTGCGGAGGTGATGCGTCTCGGAACGAGAGGGTTCAAGAGTGGTAGGTAAGTATAATGAGTTTCGACACCCTTCTACTACTCCTGAACGTACTACTTGTGGGGCGTCGTTGTCACATCCTCAATTTTTCAGGAGCATTTGGATATACTGAGTATTTTTGCGAGCGACTGTACTTCATATCGGCCTCAGATTTACTTCATATCGGCCTCAGATTGACTTCATATCCACGTCATCCAGACGTCAAATCGACTTTGCATTTGGTCTTTTATGACTATGACGTCATATAATGACGACAATTGGGTCTGACACTAAACCGTCATAATGACGCCATTTTTGTTGGGCGGCGTACGTTATTAGTACCCTAAAAATGCCGACATTATGACGTCACTATGTTCACTAGGTGAATTCATATAAATAAAACAAGGAAATTTAACTTTTGCCTTATATTATTAGGTGGTTATAATACAATATTTTTCATAGCACAAGCAGAGTGCCATTCACATGCCTTCTCGCGTTTCTGCGATTCTGATGGTAAGTGACCGTCCACCAATTTTACGAGAAAATTCTGGTCGGCTGTGCAATTTTCAAAGACAGGAGCAGAGTAGGTATACCATTTGCATGCCTCCCCGCATTTCTATGATCCTGATAGCAACTCGTCGCCCGCCAATTCTACGAGAAAACTCTGACCGACCGTGCAAACTTCAGAAACCTGTAGACCTGTATCAGGATCGCAGAATCGGCAAGAGGCATATAATTTCGTGCTTATCTCATATCAGGAGCAGAATACCATTTGCATACATACTTGCGTTTCTCCAATCTAGCAATTTTACGAAGAAGCTGTGGACGACAGTGCGATATTCAGAAACTTATAGATCTGTATCAGGACTGCAGTCGCGACTAGAAGCATAGATGCCAAAGATAAAAATTTCGCCTCAACATCATAGCAGACGCAGCATACCACTCACAGATGTTCTCACGTTTCTGTGATCCTGATAGCAACTCGTCGCCCACCAATTTAACCTATAGACCTGTCACAGGATCGCAGAAATGTCGAGACATCGATGTTATTGATTTGAATTTCGTTCTTATCTCATCGCAGGAGCAGAGTACTATTACCATACCTCAGTACGTTTCTGTCAACCTGATAACAAATGTCCTATCTACCAATTTTACGAAGAAAGTCTGATTGACAGTGCGACTTTAAGAAACTTATAAATCTGCATTAGGATCGCAGAAACTACGAGGAACATAAATGCCAAGGATCCAAGTTGCACGCGAGTATCGTAGATAGAACACAGTGCTATTGGCATACCTCTTCGCGTTTCTGTGATCCTGCTAGCAAGACACCGTCTACCATCAAAACATAAACAGATTACCATTTACATCTCTCCTCGAATTTCAGTGATCCTGATTGCAACTTGTCGTTCACCAATTTTACGCTAAGTCTGGTCGACAGTGCCATTTTCAGAAACATATTTGTATCAGTATCGCAAAAACGGCAAGAGGTAAAGATTCCATGGATTTGAATTTCGTTCTTATCTCATAGCAGGAACAGACTACTATTTGCAAACCACCTCGCGTTTCTGTGAACTTGATAACAAGTCTCCAATCTACCATTTTTTTTTGAAGATCGCTGTGGTCAACAGTGCGATATTCAGAAACCTATAGATCTGTGCCAGGATTGCAAAAACGACTAGGAGCATAGATACGAAAGATGAAAATTTAGCGCCAACATCATAGCATAAGCAGAGTACCATTCACATCTCTCCTCGAGTTTATGTGATCCTGATTGCAGCTCGTCGTTTAGCAATTTCACAATAAGCCTAATCGACAATCCGATTTTCAGATACATATGGATCTGTATAAGGATTGCAAAAATGACGAGGAGCATAGATGCCAAGGATCTAAATTCGCGCGAGTATCATAGATAGAGAACAGTACTATTCACATACCTCCTCGCGCTTCTGTAATAGCAACTCGTTGTCCACCAATTTTACGAAAAGTCTGGTCGACAGTGCGGTTTTCAAAAACCTATAGATCTCTATAATGATCGCAAAAACGGCAAGAGGTATCGATGCCATGGATTTCAATTTCGTTCTTATCAAGGCACACAGAACCTTCTTACAAAACCCCACAGTAGATAACAGACAAGCTGACATTGAGTCCAGAAACAAATATAAAGAAGCAGTGCGCAATGCCAAAAACCAGCACGATATAAAAGTTAGGCACAGGTTAATGTCGCAGCGCAATGGCAGTCGGTCTTTCTGGACGCTGGCCAAGCAGATTGAAAAGAACTTCTCACACAGTAGCCTTCTACCACTTACGTGTCAGGATGGAACTATTGTATTCAACTCATAGACCAAGGCGGAAGTGCTAGCCAAGATCTTTTCTGCCAACACCACCAAACGCCCAAGTGCCGTCAATTCAAAGGGTTTCCTACACTATGCAGGAGGTAATATTCAGGCATAAGACCGTAAGACGAGTGCTCTTGTCGCTTGACATCAACAAAGATTCTGGTCCGGACTTGATTCCTGCCATTGCACTGAAGAGGTGTGCAGCGGAGCATGCTCCAGTTCTTTCGCGTCTCTTCCAGATATCTTATGAATCCGGCACCTACCCAGAAAACTTGAAATTTGCTCATGTCCAACCCATCCCAAAAAGGGATCTAAGATCGACCCTTACAACTACAGGCCTATCGCTCTGCTTTGTGTTTTAAGTAAGGTGATGAAGAGGTGCATAAATCGCGAGCTTCTGGACTACCTCGAAAGTCACAGCTTGATTAGCGACAGGCACCTCCTAGCTTACGTCACGCAATTGTGGAGTAAACTCATCCAGTCTTATGGTGAGGCTCATGTCGTTGCTCTTGACATCACGAAAGCGTTCGATCAGCTATGGCACGCTGCCCTCTTAAGCAAACTTCCATCCTATGGCCTCCCAGAAAAGATTTGCAGATGAGTGGCTCACTTTATCTCTAGCCGCAAGATATCCGTCGTAATTGATGGGTTCTCCTCTTCATCCCATAACGTGAATGCGGGTGGGATCGGTCTTGGCTCCGACACTGTTTCTCTTACATATCAACGACCTCCTTTCCTGCACGATCAACCCAATCCACAGCTTCGCTGATGACAGCACTTTACATGCAGGAATTCATAGTGAAAAGCCGATCTCTGCCGCTGAGTTGGAAAATAGAAGACTAGCGATGATTTCCTCTCTGACAAGAGACCTGGAGGCTATCACTGCTTGGGGACGCAACAATCTTGTACAGTTCAATGCTTCCAAAAAACAGTACTGTACTTTGACGAACAAAAAGCGTCCCTGCGCTCACCCGGATTCGATTTACATATATACCTCTGTAGGCCCCCATATATTGTAGGCCCGGGGCGGGCCGCTTCATCGACACCCCCCCCCCTTAGGCCGCCACTGCAGCCAACGTAAAACAGCAATATTCAATCAACAAAAAAGTGAGAAGTTATCACTCCAATCTAATCGGATTTTTGATAGGATAACAATTTCTTAATCTGTTTCCTGGGTCAAAGAAGCAAGAAAATAAAATTTGTTCTCCAATGAGACATATTTTTATTGATTAAAAAATAACAAGGAAAACCTAGTGTTTATCAATTAAATTAAGTCTATCCATATATTTACATCACGAAAATAAATAAGGGAATATCACGAGTCCCAGTTCACTGTGGCAGTTGAGGTCTTCTGAAATACACGATTCCACCAAGGACGGCGGCCAGAGCTGTTATCAAATATAAGTCCCAATTGGAGCCCACAGTACTGTTCAAGTCCACCGCATTGTACAATGGCGTCTGCAAAAGATACTACAGAAATTATTCAAATAAAAGAGAGTTCAAGCAAAGACTCAATATCAAGCGTTATGAATGGGTTTTTTAGAAAAAAATTTTTAGAATTGAATGTCAAACATAGATATATAGCATTATTTAGTCTATTGTAAGGATTGCATCAATGATTGAACACACCGACATCAAAAGAAAATTATCTATATTTTATAGTCGGTGCTTCAAACATCATTTATTTGTACATATTAAATATTACGCCCTGTAAGTGATTATTTGAACATGTACCGTTTATACGGGATGTTTTCAAAGTTGAGTCATTTATTTTAACTGCTTATAGGACTCGTCAAAAGGGGTTGATATACCAAAAATCACCTATATAAGAGTTGCATAATAAAAGAAATAGTAAAAGACTAAACATTTGTAAAAACAAGAATTATACAGATTTTCTGATACTCTCGACCACTGCCGTGTAAAATCTTAGCGTTTTTTGTTTACAACTTTTATCGTTTATCTAAATTTGCCAAACTTTTTGTGTTATTGTATGGTTTTAAGTACGAGTCTTTGGTTTGATCAGCTGTATGAGTATTTTAACAGTGCGTATACTTTTGTCTCATTATTTTGTGCGAAAAAATGGCCCATGTTTATGAAAACAATGAACTAGTGAACATAATAGTGCCAATAAAATGCAGCCGCAGCATGCAGGTTTTCCTTTACGAAATCATCCGGCCCCACAGGTGTTTGTAAATTTAGTTATTAGACTTCGTGACGCAGGACATTTAAAAGAACCACAAGGTCACGCTGGAAGACCTGCGCAACGTGAAATGTTAATTGACGAAGACAATTTAGAAATGGTCGAAGACGACCCAACAATGAGTACTAGAGTCATAGCAGCTCAAGTTGATATTTTTCATGGTAAATTGTGGAAGACAATACGACAAGAACAGTATTATCCTTATCATTATCAACAGGTACAAGCGTTACAACCTGAAGATCATCCTAGAAGAGTTGCATTTTGCCAGTGGCTTTTATAATAGTTCGGCAGAAATGAAGATTTTACGAAATTAATTTTGTGTACAGACGAGGCCACATTTATACGAAACTTTCACAACAATCATGTTTGAAAAGAACTTATTTTCAACATAGATTTTCATTAAATATATCTGCTGGCGTGGTAAATGGCATGATTATTGGACTATACTTTTTTCCAGCTCGACTGATCGGTGAAATTTATTTAGATTTTCTTCGACACAATCTGTCACAATTATCAAAAGATGTTCCGCTAAATGTGAGACAGAATATGTGGTTCCTAAATAATGGGGCTCCACCACATTGTAGACGAGAATGAATTTCCAAATAGGTGGATAGGGCGCAATTGACCCATTTCTTGGTGGATTTAACGCTTGGCGATTTTTTTCTGTGAGCTGTTTGAAAGAATTGGTGTATCATGATGAAGCAGCAGTAAATAGTCTGGAAGAACTTCAACAGTGGACTGAAAATACTTGTGATAAAATTGGTGGACACCTGGATTTTATTTTCGAAGATTGCAAAGAGTCGTGGATCCGCCGAGCAAGATTTTGCATTAATCGAACAAATGGGGACAATTTTGAACAGTTTTTGTAAAAAAGGCATCCATTTAACTTGATAATGATTTTTTTAATATAATTTTTGATAATGTAAACTAACTCTCTTATTATGCAACTTTTATATACAAGGTGCGCCATCTTTTATGTCGGTTTGTAAACATGAAATAACTTTGAAAACGAAAAACTGATTTCTATATATCGAGTATTTTTATTAAATATGATCGTTTACAATTTATTGGGACTAGTTTTTGAGCACAACATCTATCAAGTGGCCACCTTTATTTTACAAAACAAAATGTGCCCGTTTTAATGCGTTTTCCATTACTTTTTCGAGTATCTCTAGTGGTATAGCGGCGATTGCGGTTCGAATGTTTGCCTTGAGTTCTTCAGTGGTCTGGGGCTTGCTAGAGTACACTTGACTTTTCAAATAACCCCACAAGAAGAAGCCCGGTGGGGTCAAATCTGGAGACCTGGATGGCCAGTCAATGTCACCTCTTTTTGACATCAGACGTCCAGGGAATTTTCGTTGCAGAAACTGGATTGTTACATTTGCAGTGTGGCATGGCGCACCGTCTTGTTGAAGCCATCAAGACCTTTTTCACCCATTTGTGGGCAGACATAATGAGCCAACATCCACCGATATCGATTTCGATCGACTGTTTCGTTTTCGTTGAAGAAAATTGGTCCAATGATGCTTTTGGCGCAAACGCCGGCCCAGTCAAGCAACGGCATTTCGTGGATCTCATGTGGATTTACCGTCTACCAAATGCGGCAGTTTTGCTTATTTACACCGCCAGAGAGCGTGAAATGGGCCTCGTCGGTCATCACAATTTGCTTCCAAAAATCAGGTTCAGCAACAACCATGCGAGCGACTGTTAGGGCGTATTCCAAGCGACGTGGATGGGATGGTCAGTTGGCAATATTTGTTGTGTTAAGTGTACCTTATGAAGAAACGAATGCAGATCATCCTTCAAAATGCACCGCAACGTGGTTCCACTGATGCCAAAATGCTGAGCGCGGTGACGATACGACACTTTTGGGTTCGCAACGCTGTCTCTGACCACTTCAACCAATTCATTGGTCGTTGATGAACGGTATGTTGACGATCTCCCACTGTCCCGTACTCAAGAAAATTCGAAACCAAACGACGGATAGTGTTGTCAGCCGGTGCCTGTTTGCCACGATATTTACGACGATATGCACGTTGCGTTAACACAACGACGATTTTCAATGTACATTGTAACTATTTCGGCGCGTTGTTTCGGTGTAAAGCGATACATGACAAAAATTGTAGTGAATTGTTGTTTCAGAAACACGTATAACCAAATCACTCGGTTCGTTAATATCAAAGTCATTCGATGTTTCAATACCAACATAAAATATGGCGCACCCGGTAGGTGATTTTTGACGAGTTCTACAAGCTGTTAAAATAAATGACTCAACTTTGTACATGTAAATGTATGTTTCCATGGGGAAATGTCACACGATCAGTATTTACTGTGGTACCTACCAACAGTACTTACTGACCATTCCGTCAGTGTCAGTGGACTTCTATGTAAACATTATAAAAAAAAGTTTGATAAACAGGGTAGCCCAAAAGTGAAGCAGGCCAAACATTTTTAATGGAAAATCCTTATAATTTTTGTATTTTGAGATTCACCTTATGATTTTAAACATTTTTATATGTCCATGCCTGAATTCAACTTTTTTTTGAGATATTGTGGTTAGAAATGAACCTTTGCTCATAACCGACACTCTGTAAAATCTAAGGGTTGATTAACCAGCAAAATGGCTATCTTAGGTTTTACGATCTGTTCTAATATGAGAACTACCATAACAGGAAATTTATTGCACAGTACCTAGAATATGAGAAAAAGGTGATTTTCTAATCTCAATAGTTCAAACACATCATTATTTCTAAATATTTTTTTTTAATTTGGACAAGGAAAAAAATCATGAACCAAAAAAAGCTTTATTCAAGCTTTATTCAAAAGAATATAGAACAAATAAAACAAAATTAATGGTAACTGCTTAAAAATGGTTACTTAACGGTTATTTCTTTCGTTGCAGATTGGTGTGTGATATTAGGTTGTTCGGAAAGTACTTGCTGTTTTGTACCCTCAAATTCAAAGAAGCATATCTTAGCTTTAACAAGACTATATCAATCAAAATAAAAACCAAAGAGGAACAAGTTTATTTATGCCGCTAACGTAGAAATCCGGAGTTCTGGAGGCGATTTAAGGCATTTTTGGCATCGCCATTGTTATTGAAGCATTTCTCGCGAAGGAAGGTGTCGAAGTATTATGAATAAATTTCAGTGTAAAGTACATCTTTTAAGACATAAATAACAAAAACCGCAACAAATTTCCGAACAACCTATTATTACTTCCCTGTATACCTACCTCCTGCAAGCTCTCGAGTCCAACGACCAGCTGCAGCTTGAGCAACGCTAACGCCACCGGCACCCTAGCGTCGATGCTGGTCTCTGCGGCCCTATCGTACAATCGTTTCGCCAAATGAGCGTCCCTCTGCATGCCAAGACCGCGCTCGTGCATGTAGCCTAGATTGAACATCGCTTGAGCGTTATGTTGTTGCTCGGAGGCCAGCTGATAATGGGCGGCCGCCACTTCGTAGTCCACTGGCGTGCCTAGGCCGTAGTAATAGTAGTCGCCCAGTTTTACCTGTAAATTATTAGTAGAAGGGAACACAAAATAGAGACAGTTGCTTAAAAAACTGTTGCTTCGGCATTTGATTAAGGTTTATAAAGTCATGATTTCTAATATGATTTTGAAGAATATCCTAACAAAAAATATACTAGTACTCTGTGTGTTTGTTTGTTTAAGATTTACTTAGCATGATTGCTACAATAACATTCTTTTTAAAAACAAAAACAATGACTTAACATACAAGTATTTAGAAAAACAAAATTTGCATCTCTAAGAATTTTCACTGTCCATGAAATATTCCTTTAATTTTTTTTTATACATCTTTAAATTACAAAATAGACATTATATCGTTATTTAATTTATAAAATTCAAGTAATACTTTCTGAAATATTGATTTGCTAGTTATATTACTCATAGATTATTTTGTAGGACTTGTAATTTTGAGAATACATCTTCAGCGGCAGTGAATAAGATAGTAAATGCGGTATTATAAACTTTTTTTTTTGATTATGTACTAAGACTATGAGAAGCCCTATGAAAGTAATTTGTTTTTTTTCCAATTTTTTAAATAAGGTGTTTACGAGTTTACTATCAATATATACTCATATATACCTATTCAATATTTTCAATTATTTGACCATTTATCATGTGATAGTATTTTCATTTAGCATATATTTTGTTTTAGAAGCATTCAGTTATAGTTTATTTACATTTAATCAATTTACAATTTTTGCCAAGTATTATTTAGCATTTTTAAAGTGGTGTCAATATTTTTATATATGTATTCAATGTATCTTCTGCAAATATCTGAATTTTACAATAATCTTAAGTATCACAAATGTGATTAATGTATAAAATAAATAGTAATGGACCTAGTTTATGACACCAACATAAATATTTTTTGAGCGTGATAATTCAGATCCAATTTTGGTTATTTGACTTCTGTCAATCAAGTAGTTTTGTAGAATTTTGAACACAGATCCTTTAAATCCATAGAGATATTTTGTAAGTAATTTATCCCTGTCAATAGTCTCAAACACCCATTTGAAGTCCAAAAACACTGTTAATGTATGTTTCCTATTATCCATACATCTACTCCAGTCCTCTAAAACCATTTGTGTTGCCGTTTCAGTTGAGTGTTTCTTCCTGAATTCAGCTTGAAATTTGGTTAAAATGTTATTTCCCTCAATAAATTTGATTCTGTTCGTAAATAAGACTTTTTCAACATCTGGCAGAACATTTATTGGCCGCAAATTGGTGTACAACTCAGAATTCTTAACTTTAGAAACATGAGTTATGGTAGAACACTTCAGTTTTGTTGGAAATTCGCCATATTTTAAACAGTAATTTATCAGGATTGATATTCGTGGTCCAACAATATCAAAGCTTCCTTTTAGACAAAATCTAACTCTTATTTTGATTTGATTCCAATTTTAATATAATCTTTTTGAGACGATTAATGTTTATTGTTCTAAACTCACTGAATGATGCATTACAATCTGAGCTAATGAGACATTTGATGGGATCCCCGTCAAAAATTGATCTTACAATGTCCCTAATACTTTCTCGATCTGCTGTTATTTTTCCATTTGCCATTACCCCATCGTCGAACTTCATTTTAGATGATGTATTTCTTCTAATAGGAGAAATAAGGTTTTTCAATGTTTTCCACATCTGTTTGCTATTCATTTTACTGTCATCAATTTCGGTATATTTTCATCTCGTAGAACTGCTACAGATTGGTTTCTTGATCTTGTATATCCTAGCCAATCATTTTCACTCCCAGTAATCATAAACTTCTTATAATTGTATTTCCTTTTTAATTTAGAATCATTGAACGTATGTAAGAACCAAGGTGTAGGATTTTTCCTTTTATAAATTGTTGTATTTATTGTAGCTTCTTTCATGCAAACTTCAATATTATCCAATAGGCTTGCATAGTAGCTATCAAAATCAACGAACGTTTCAGTCATATCTTGCAGTAAAAGAGCTCCTCGTAATTTTACATAGTTAATATTAGTAATTTCTTCCACTTCGTTAGCTTCAAATATACTTCCAACTTCAAAACATATCTACGAATGATCAGTGATTTTAGGAGTATGCATAACTTTTGCAATTAAATCTTGTTCGTTGGTTATTATCAAATCTATATTTGTTCTTGAATGATTTGTAGTTCTGGTGTAATCATGTTTTTGAAAATATTTTCCAAGGACCATACTGTTGGCTACAATCAGCAATTTCAGGGTGGTTGAGTGTGTGTCTGTGACTTACTGCATTATGGAACAACGCAAAATAATAAGCAGCTTAGTAAAAAAATTGCAAGAACATGTTGCCGAGAAAATAATGAGTAAAATGGGTCGGTAGACACCCTGACAGGCTGTATAAAAGTACCTGTGCAGCTGAATAACCTTGGACCGCTGCTCTTCCCCAGTAGAGCAGTGCTCTAGCCAGCGCGTCTTCCTTGGTGAACATTGGTACCTCTCCTCTGTCCAGCAGAAATGCGGCATTGCTCTGCGCCACTTCGTATCCAAGTTCAGCTAAAAGAGCGTACTCTACGAAAGATTCGTCATAACGACGACTTCTGAAGTCTGAATGGGCCTGGAATAAGAATAACGAATTCAAATACTCCGATATCGTAATCCTTCATGTTTGTTTGGCCGCTAAATGATACCACATGCGCTTGAAATACTATTTACCGACTGTAGCGCTTTTCAGGTTCAATTGACAATTCTGATGCCAATATACAGGGAGTTAATTAACTATGTGCTTTAACAAATCATTCTTTGAGTAATATAAACTTAGGTCCGCAAAAGCTTCGTTGTCAAGAGGGTGATAAAATTTAAAAAAATGGTTTTTCGTAAATATCTTAAATATCCTTTATCTAATTTTGCTGTAATTTGTCGATGGCATTTATAGCGTTAAGGAGCTAATTTAGCCCTAAACTGTTTAATTTATTAAGTCCAGTGGCATCTCGAGCGGGATCTGAACGAATATTTGTTACAAATGTACGCCACTGACTTTTGTGCTATTTTTATTAGATTCTTTGGATTAAGCAAATACGAGCCCCTTCCCACTTCAGTTGGCCCAACTATTGAAATCTTAGTTTTTTCTTATCAAACACAAATAATAAAAATGTAGCAGGGTGTTATAGGTTTAAAATATTAACAATGAATATTTTGATAATATATAGTAGAAAACACCAACTTTATCACTCCCTAATCAAATTTGCAGCATAAAAATAACACATGTTGCAATTACAGCTTATCAAACTATTTTCATTTCAATGCAAAATAAGTCTATAACGCATAGGTGACTGTGAAAAATAAAAGCCATGACAATTGTTTTTATTAATCACAGTTCTCAGAATACGTTTAAAATAGTTTTGGGTAGTTAAGGTTTTCAAAATGGGTAGAGGAAAGGTTATTAGTGAGAAAATTCGGTTACTGATAATTAATTTTTTTAATTCTGGAGAATCGTACTCAGACATTGCAACTTTGTTAGACTTGTCGCGGTACAGTGTGAGAAATATTGTTAGAAGATATAACGTAACTGATTCAGTTAATATTAAGCCACGATATGTAAAAAAAAGTAATATCATAAATGCCGACCGAATAGCATTAATAAGAATAATCGTGAAAAACAGGCGTGCCAATTATTTACAATTAAGTGCTCTGTGGAGTGACGCTGTTGGAAGGAGAATTTCGAGGTCCACAACTCAAAGAGGCCCACAAACTGGGATTTAGCACTTGCAAGGTAAGTTTTCTTATAAAAAAAAGTGAAGTAAAAACCCTAAAGTTGCACAACTCGTTTATAGGAAAAAAAAAAGCCACTATTAACTCCACTGCAAAAGAAAAATCGGCTTAGATGGGCTAAAGAACATAGACAATGGACACCTCAACAATGGTGTGCAATACAATGGAGTGATGAGGCCCGATTCGAAGTTTGTGTTGGCGACAGTCGCAGTAGAGTTATTCGCAAAAAAATGAAGCATTCCATGTTGACTGTCTGAAGAGAAAAGTGAAATTTCCAGCATCCATTATGGTATGGGTCAGTATGTTATCAAAAGGAGTAGGAAAACTTCATTTTATTGATGGAAATGTGGATACAAACAAATATTTTACAATTTTAGAAAAATCGCTTTTACCAGTGATGCAAGAATGTTTGACATCCGGCCAAGATTTTGTGTTTCAGCAAGATGGTGCAGCGTGCCATACCTCAAAAAAGGCTATAAAATGGATGGAAGAAAATAATGTACCACTTTTGAAATGGGTTTCTAGCAGTCCAAATCTGTCACCTATTGAAACTTTGTGGCACGAGATGAAAAAGGTTCTACGACAACACCCTACTCGTACAATCACCGAACTGAGATAAAAGCTTCAAGAAATATGGGATTGTTTTACACCAAATTTTTGCCAAAACTTGGTTAACACTATACCCCAAAGAATTTCAGCCGTAATAAAAAATAAAGGTGATGTTACCCAATGGTAATCTTTCAATTGTTGCTTTGTTAACTTCGCCCATTTATTCGCACATTGTTTATTTGTTCAGATGTTCTATTAGTTATAGGTCTAAGTGATTTCAAATATGTATTTTTTACGACTAGACTGCATCTAAAATGTTTTTGAGAAAATAAATTATTTTAGAAGTAAATAGTTTATTCATGTTTAGTTTATAAAGGCATATTTTGGTAAAAATCTTGAAGTGGGCCAACTGAAGTGGGAAGGGGCTCTTAGAAATACAACGTTTTTGTATCTTGAATTTTTTTTTGTATCGAAAACCAACGTTTCCCCATATTCCTTGTGTGGTACAGGGATATGCAAGTAAGTGAACTTATTTTTCTCGAAACCTAAGCAAGATACGAAAATAATTGAAGAGGCAAACATTTTTTATTTCTATTTGCTTAATCCAAACTACATAATAAAAGTTGCACAAACGTCAATGGCGTAAATTTTTTTGTTACAAATATTCCCTCAGATCTCGCTCGAAACGCCACTGGGCTTAATAAATTTAATCAAGTTATGGTGCAATTACCTTCTTAATGTTATAAATACAAAGGGTACTATAAACGTTTTTCAATATGACTTAACAAACGGACGCAGGTGCCTGCGTGTTCCTCCATGTTGAGACATGTCCATGAGTGCATAGTAGCCGCCAGCAGCACGTAATTTAGTTGTTCATTCGTATTCACAGTGTAAAATGCGGACTATGGTATCGTGGTAACGTAGAGAGATAAGGGCAGTTTTAGGGTATAACTTTACGCGTGGTTTAAGCATAGACCAGTGCTTAGGAGAAATGACGCTTGCATTAAAGAATGATTGTCCTCATCGTACGACTATATTCAGGTGGTACAGAGAATTCCAAAGTGGTAATTTCACTCTGGAGGACGCTGAGAGGGAAGGAAGGCCGCGAACGTCGGTAACAGAGGAAAACATTACTGCTCTGAGGAAAATATTTGACGAAGACCGGAGAGTGTCATGCCAACAGGTAGAGGAGACCTTACACCTTCATGAAACAGCAATTCATTCAATTCTGTATGACCATTTATACGTAAGGAAACTTCTCTCTGGGTGCCGCATATTCTGTTGGAAGAGCAGAAGACTCGTCGTACGACTTGGTGCCGAAAGATGCTGAAAATGTTTGATAAGGGGCAATCTCGGTATGAGAACAGCATCGTGACAGGTGACGAGACTTGGCTCGATTATTACCATGTGCCGACCAAGGCTGAAAACAAAGTTTGGGTCTTTGATGATGAGGACACACCCGTAGCCGTCAGAAAATCCCGATCTGTTAAGAAAAAAATGATAGCTGTATATTTCAAATCAATTGAGTTAGTGGAGCGTGTCGGACACGTTATGGACACACTGAAGGCAGTCACAGCTAAGTGGTACACGGAATAGTGACTGAATTAAGTCACAGACCAAAGTCAAGAATGGACACTAAACTTGGTATCTCCACCTTGACAACGCTCCAGCTCACCGCGCCAAAGCCTGCACCGAGTATTTGGCCATTACTGGACTGAAACTTACAGTCCAGATCTTGCTCCCTGCGACTTTGCACTGTTTCCACATGAGAAAATGAAGCTAAAAGGAAAACGGTTTTCTAGCGATGAGGACCTGCTGTTGGCTTGGGACATCGAGTGTGCCGCACTCCCGGGGGAAACTTGGCAGAGCTAGTTTAAGGAATGGTTTTGGCGGATGGAGAAGTGTATTGATTGTGGTGGAAAATACTTTGAACGAAGTCAATAAATAAAGCTGTATTGCAAAACTTTTATAGTACCCTTTGTACCACCGCCATATTACAACAAAATTAGGTACAGGGTATTTAAGATATTTACGAAAAAAAATTTTTTTAATTTTGACACCCTGTATCTTGAGAACGAAGAATTTGCGGAAATAAGTTTGTATGAACTTTTTGTCTTAAAATTTCTCAAAGAATCGTTTATCTGTCGATAGTTCGTTTGTTTTTCCTTTTCATATTTCTATGAATTTGTTACTATACACTTTGGTATGCATTCCCGCTAACAAAGGGACGTCCAGCATCCTAAAGCGACAAGCGAGCATGGGGTTATCCATCATTTCTTTAATTTGCCAGACACGCTACTCTCGACTATCGTCCCGAAAACGACAGAAGTCCTCCGAAAACGCGAAAACCCACCAGACTGTTGTCGCAACACACCGGTTGATCGTTATGCAATCTTTGGCCACAAATGTTGCATGTGCAATGTCTATCGGTCGGTCTGTCTGTCTATTTGTCCGTCGGTCTTTCTGTCTGTCATTATGTCGGTCTGTCTGTCTTTTTCCCACGGTCTATAATTTTTTTCCAGGCTCAAGTGACCCTAATACTACTGATTACGTATAAAAATAAAACTCTAAATTATTCTAGCTGCAATACTAGTGAGTTATGATGAAGTATAGGGATCAACTCTCGTATCAATAGAAATTTTTTAATATTACCTGCATCAATAGTTCGCCCCATCTACCTCTTTCCGCGACATTTTTGAACAACTCTACAGCCGTTGGACACGATCTGAGCATCCCAGTCCCTTGAGCATGCATTTGGGCCAAGTTGTAATACGCCAGTACATGCCCTGACTGTGACGCCAGGGAAAAGTACTTGTTCGCCATTTTGTAGTCTTTCTTCACGCCTAAACCATCTGAAAGAAATAATTTCGGTCACAATCAACGATGTTAATCGACGTCAAAAAGTTATTAACGTATGTCCTAAAAGTTTTGGTACAAAAATCATCGGCTTTAATTTTAACAAACACAAAATAATACCAAGTTGCCTTTGGTAGTAAAAGTTCATTTGCTTTACTGTCAGTTGACATTTATTTATTTTGAAGTTTTCGCTTTAAGATGTCATATAAATTAGAAAAGTATCTACAAGTTGGTTGGGCGGGTTCCCAAAGCTAAAATCTAAGGAATGTTCCAGAATGAAAACATTTATAGGTCAGAGAGATTGGTGAGAAGAGCAAAAAATCAGGTTGGAATGTCAACAAGGAGACAGGCTCGTCAATACGGGTCTTCTTAGAATACGATATCATTGGAATTGAGGAGGAAAGGTCTTAAATATTGAAAGAGACTTAAGTGCCCCAAATACACTCAAGCACAGCTCCTTCGTATGCCAAGATACTGTCGTCAACTGAGGCGCATACACTTTGTCAATGGAAAAATCATTATTTCAGATGACGAAAAGAATTTCACTTTGAGTAATTCTGAAATGAAAGGAAACGACGGATTTTATAAGGACAACGTAGAGGAACGTGCTGACAATGTTAGATACAAACATAAACCAAAATTTGCAGATAAAATCCTTGTCTGGTGCGCAATTTCTAACAGGGGGTATCCCAACCTTTTGTGGGAAGAGTGAAGGATGGAGCTTTGAATAGTCAGAGCTATATTGATGACTGCCTTTCCAAAGTGCTTCAGTTTGTCCACAAACATCATGCTAATGAAGAGATGCCCCAAACTGGCTTCGACAACATAACATACCTTTTGTTCCCAAAAACGATAATCCGCCAAACTTGTCGCATGCTCGCCCAATAGTGGATTTTTGGGCTTTACTGTCTAGAAAGGTTTATCATGGAGGCCGGGAAGCCCAATATGAAGAACAATTAAGCCGGCTAATTGACGAAAAACTAAGAGAAATTGATCTGAATTCCGTCCAGGACCTCATGAGAGGCATTCGAAGAGAGTTGCGTCTGGTAGAGCAAAATCGGCCGCTCCACATAATTCGATTGCATAATTTAGTTAAGTATTGAGTTGTAGTTTATGATAACTGGTTAGTGTTTAAATAAATTTCTTCATTAAAAAAAATCCGATAAATATGTTGTGCCAAAACTTTTAGGACATACTGTTAAAATCGCACGTTACTGTTTGGCAATGTTGCGTTGTCTGGAGACTGAACACGTTGCTCGTTATACCCGTGTCTAGTCTGATATGGTAAGTTGGCATTTCTTATCGGGTAGCACTTCTATGTTACTGTCTTCTCTACTTTTTCGGTTATTACTAAATAAAATATAGTAATTACACCGGTATGGTCTGCAGTTTTACTTCTCTTATCCCCCAAGGCTTCTTATAATTGCCAACACATACGTTATAGATGACGGCAATGATACAGAAAGAATACTAACACGCGGAGTTCCGCAAAACAGTTTTAGGGCCGCTTTTCTTTACGGTATGCGTAAATGAAATCCAAAACCTGATAGAAGTGAGAGAAATCGTTAGTTTCGCAGATGATACAGCCATTTTTACTTTTTTCGCCTACTGGACAAGGAAGTGTTTTTGTGTTTTTTTTTTGGTGTTACAACATATACTCTACCATTCAAAAAGCCAGAAAACAAGTAAACTGATAGAAGTTATTAAAGAAAACATTACAATATCTGTATGAAACATTTAATATTTTCTTAATTCTTAACCACATACAACTATTTATAATCAAAATAATCATATTTTTGACTCATCAATATGCGCTCGTTTACTTTTAATTGCAGCCTGGCAAATGATGGGTAAACGCGCAACTAATTATTCTAAAGCGGATGGGGTTATTTTTCGCCATTCGTCTTGTAATATTCTCCAAAGCGTTTTTGATATGTAGGACATCTCCGTACTTGTCTGTCCAGTTGATCCCACAACAACTCCATCGGATTCAGATCCGGGGATTGGGGAGGCAATTGCATGACTTTTAAAATATTCTGTTCTTCTTTTGCTTCCAAAAATTGTTTACAGAGCTTGGATGTGTGTTTGGGGTCATTTTCATACTGAAAGACAATCCCGGACCAATAAGACGAGTCCCAGAAGGCACAACACGATTTTGTAATATAGCTTTGTAACCTTCTTTATTCAGTATTCCCTGTACTCTCACAATATCCCGGAACCACCAAAACAGCTCCAAATTATTATACAGCTTCCACTGTGCTTGACTGAAGCGACGGTGCACGATTCTAATGCCCTCTCGTTAGGCCGACGGCGGACAAATACTCTTCTCTTGGAACCAAAAACTTCAATTTCGATTCATCGCTCCAGAGGACCTTATTCCAGTCAGCAACTGTCCAATTATGATGTTTGGCCCAATTCAGTCTCTTTTTTGTTAGTAGCCCTGAGAAGTGGTTTCGATACTGCTATGCATTCTTTAAGTCTATACTACAACTATTTAAAACTGTAATGACTCATACGCGTGATCAACACGTGATCAGAGCTCGATCCCGGCTTCCTTCCAGTACAGCCGTATAGCGTACGACATATGTCGTTTCTGTAGCTTTGCGGTGGTCAACAGCACAGACAGAGATGGAAATAATGGCTGATTGTTCTCCGCCGGTAGAACCAATGAAATCAAAGACGCGCCTCGACCGGCAGACTCATAGGCGTCGGCAACGCATTGGAACGTGTTTCGTTGAGCGATCGCATATTGTGTGTTTTTATAAGAATTGTTGTGTGATTGTTATTGTTGTGGTTTCTGTGGTTACTGTTTTGGTTATACTCAACAATGGAGAGTACAAATGGCACGAGTGGAAGTACTGAAAGCCAGGGAACAAGTAGACGGCTTCGTAAAGCACTGAAGAGGGACGCGAAAGAAATCGTGCTCAACGTGTTCAATTATCTGAACAGAACTATGTCGCAGGGAGATGCACTCGCGCGTTGTGAAAGTATGACAGGCGTTCCAGAGTGGACCATTCGCAGGGTGGTGCATGAAAAGAAGAAAACTGGAGCTACTACTGATCCAAAGTTTAATTTGAAGGGACGAAAGGCCGTTAAATTGGATGACGATAGCAAAATGGCGTTAAGGCGAACCGTACATTCATTCTTCTTTAGGAATGAGATACCAACCCTCAAGGCTGTACATGCAGCGATCAAGGAAAATGAAATTATACCCCAAATGAGCGTCGAGGTAATGAGGAAATCCCTGCACGAAATTAATTTTCGTTACGAAACGCGTAATCGGAAGTCAATATTGATAGAGAGACCTGAAATAGTCGCCTGGCGTCGAAAATACCTACGCGAAATGATTGAATATAGGCGACAAAGCAGAAAAATCTATTATTTGGACGAGACATGGGTAAATGCAGGTCACACAGTTAAAAAAACCTGGATAGACAAAAACGTAGTGAGTAACCGACAAGCAAGCATTGAAGGTTTGTCAACAGGTCTTCGTGCACCGTCAGGGAAAGGTCAAAGATTGATCGTAACTCATATTGGTAGCGATAGTGGCTTTTTAGAAGAGTGTGACTTGATTTTCGTCTCTAAGAAAGGAGGTGATTACCATGACGAAATGAATGCCAGCTGCTTCGAGAGCTGGTTTCAAGGGGTGCTTCAGCGAGTTGAGCCCAACTCTGTGATCGTCATGGATAATGCTTCCTACCATAGTCGTCGAGCCGAACGTGTACCGACTATGGGATCTCGAAGAAGTGACATGCAGCAATGGTTGCGCGAAAAAGGAATCCCGTTTGACGATTCATGTGTGAAAGCGGAATTGTATGAAAAAATTAAACAGCAGAAACCTGCGAACATTAGTTACGTGACTGATGAGATGGCCCGTCAATGTGGTGTCACTGTGCTGCGGTTACCGCCCTACCACTGTGAACTGAACCCAATAGAGCTCATCTGGGCTAAAGTGAAGGGTTATATTGCGCGCCATAACACAACCTTCAAATTACCAGACGTTAAGGTTTTACTTGAGACTTCCATACAGCTAGTAACGCCCGAAGCTTGGCAGAATGCTATCAGTCATGTTGTGAAGGAAGAAACAAAAATGTGGCAGCTTGACCACCACATCGACACCATCATAGAGCCAGTTATAGTCAATTTCAACGAGGAAAGCGATAGCGACAGTTTATTACTGTCAGATGTAAGTGGAAGCGACGATGAATAAAGGTAATTCCCAAATTTTTGACTTACAATATGTTTCAAGCCACTCTTTATTAAGCATGTGACAAATCTAGTTCAGCCATGTTAAACATTCATACCCCGCCTATGAACAGCCGACTACCGGTAGTTAAGTGATGTTCACGTGAACATCGATGAGTCATTACAGTTTTAGATAGTTATAGTATAGCTTCGAGGAACCTTCTCTTAAGTGTAGTCTCACTTACAGGTTTACTAAGGCCCACATTCAAGTCCGCTGCTATTTCGGGAGCAGTCACGCGTTTATTGCGTTTACTTTTCACTATTATGCTTAAGTCTTTGGTAGAAGCTTATGGATGTTGTGCCTTGAGCCTTAAATTTCTTAATAATGCAGTGTACAGATGACAGTGGTACCTTCTGAAGTTTAGAAATTTTCCGAAAACTTTTGCCGAATTGATGAAGACCAATAATAACTCCTTTTATCTTCTCGGAATATTCTTTAGTTTTACCCATTTTGTCCAGAAAAAATAAACGAAAACGCATTTGTTGAACAATCTTGAACTATAAGGTATTGAAGCACGGTAAATTTATCAAATGAGACAAGATAACTGAAGTAAAACTGTGTTATGGGCTTACGTACAACACAAATTAAAAGAAATAATCGAAAAACAAATCCTAAGAAAGAATTCCTATACAACAACATAACAATATTCTAAAGGCAAAGAAATTCCTATTATGGCTAATGATGGGATCCCAATAATTGTGTGAGCAAAATTTTTATTTCAAGGACCTTTCAGTGATGCTTGATTTCCATGGTAATGGTTATCAATAAATAAAGAAAAATAAATACGTACTGAATATTTTTTTTTGTTTGTTACGATTTTAAATAGAAATATGCAGGTGTTCAAATACTTTTGAATGGTAGTGTGCATCATGAAAAATTATGTCACTCATTTCAGTCGGTCTGTCTGTCCGCTAGTCCTTGGCACGTCTATAACTTGAGAAATTTTCCCACAAGGTTGCTATTATGCTAAGGGGAAAAAGCAGCGAAGCTCTGGGCCAAAATGAAAAATCATTTTTGGAAATACTTTTAGGGGAGAAAATAGGTGGGTGGGGGCTTGTAAGGGTTAGGGAAAGGTGTATCTCAACTTTGTGATGGCAGTACACTTATACGTTTCTAGATCGCAGACAGCATCGAGCATAAATAATGTAGTCGGGACGACAGCACTCCAAACGTGTGAGCAATACTCGAGGCTAGGTCTTATCTGGGTCTTGTAGAGAGTGAGGAGGTCATGCGGAGAAAGTACTTCTTAGCCCAAAACATAGCCTAGATTTTTCCCAGCAGCTGCCGCTATTGATGAGATGTATGCGTGCCAGATCAAGTCCTCCGTGATCTGGACTTCGACCACCCGAAATGAACGGCTCTTTGGCAGAACTCGGTCATCCATCGAGACCGGCACGGGTAAAAAAGGGGCGTAAACAGTCAATCCACGTTTACGCAATAGGATCCCTGTGAAGTTCGATCTATGGAGGAATCACTCAACTAAACTACACGCATTATTGGTTGCACATGTTTTGTGAGGCTGAGTGTTCCGTGTCTGTAGTTTTTATTTCTGAGAAGAAAGTTGGTTGAATAGCAAGATCGCATCTGGATGATTATGGGTATTGGTCTGCATGTGTATAAAATCAGTGATATTACTGGAAATCATCACCGCACCCGCATTGTGTGTGATTACTGTTAACATGTATATGGCTTGTACTTCGACAGTGTCCAGTGAATATAATTATTTCTTATCTCTTTCATTTTTGAAATTCAGCAAATTTGTATATGTAATTTCCAGAATGGATAAGAAAAAGTGGCAGCGCAACTGATTTCTAGCTTTGAATCTCAAGTGTATTTGAGACAAGAATTCAATGGAATTGTCATCAGCACATATAAGCACACTAATCCTCATTATTCACCTACGCATTGCCGTTTTCTTCTAGCTGTAGAATAAAACTTACAGCTTAGACCTACATTAATGCCATCTCTGAAGCAGATTTTACAGCACATCAGAGCCAAACATTGATAACTGAAGCCTCATGACGTTTAGGCAACATGTACAACTGAGTGCTAAGTTAACATCTTGTAGAAAAACCTACATAATGTGTCACGAAACCATAACAATGTCAAAAAAGTCGGCATACAACTTACATCTTAGACCTCCAATAATGCCATCTATGCAGCAGATTTTACATAACATCAGAGCCAAACATTGATAACTAAAGCCTCATGACGTTTAGGCAACACGTACAACTAAGTGCTAAGTTAAAATATTGTAAAAAAAACGACATAATGTCAAAAAAAAAACAGTATATTGTCAAAAAATCGATATAACGTCAAGATACATGATACCCCGAACAACTCCTTTAAACTGATAGTTTCTCATGGTCCCGACTGACTCTCATATAATTATTTGTAATGTATCAACTCTCTCTTGAACGGACGCGGACACTAGAAAATGTTCTCTTAACAGGACAAAAACCAAAATAATAAAAAACGCCTTGCCTTTTTTCCGAGAGTATCGCTGTTACATTTCTCAATTGTGCCGCGCGCCATATTCGCTGGGACCTTCTCGAGTAAACCGGGGATTCACCGACTTTAATCTTTCGGCACAAACGCAGCCCGGTGTGAATTAGGGACTTCCCCGAGTTGGTTGGGGATAACCGTTCTTATTCTTTGGGTACACGCTTTCGACTAAATTTCCATTCAGTATTAGTTTAACGTCTACGCGGAAAAGACACAATGGACGACACATTTATTATAGAAATGGCTCCAAATAGCAAAATTCTGAAGCTTAAACAAAAAACTGCGATTGCTGAAGTTCGCAATAAGGAGAAGTTAAGTGTAAGGAAATTATCCAAGCGTTTTAATATTGGAAAAACACAAGCTGCAAATATAATTAGACATAAAGAAATCCTTCTAAAGAAATGGATCGAATCGAATCTTCTCTATGTTCGGTTTGATACACCTTGTGGCTGCAACCTCAACGACGAGTAAGTTGTCTGACAATTTAAATCTGTCCTGTTTTCTTTGCTAGCATCACAATTGTGTATTCAGAATCCTGATGAAGGCTCCATAGAGAATTCCGAAAGCTTGATTTTATCGTCAAAAGAGTAAACTTAAGCCTACAAATTTGCCAATTTCCCAATTAACAATTGATTGTATATATATATACAGAGCACTTATTAGATCCACAAATACTTACTGAAATACATGTTTCCAAGTTGCAGTTGTCCATCTACCCATCCCTGCTCAGCAGAAAGAAGAAAATAGTGATGTGCTTTGGTATAATCTTTCTCCACACCTTTTCCATATAAGTACATTAAACCTAAGCCACTTAGGCCGACAGGGTTGTTCAGATCAGAAGCTTTTTTAAAATACTTGAAAGCAGTGTCGTTACTTGCTGGAATTTCATCACTTCCATCGAGGTATATCTAAAAATAATAAACGAACTCAACAGAAATATTTCATAAAATACGACGTAAAATATTCTTGGATACCCAATTACTAGCAACTAATCTATTCTACTAACAGCACATTAGAAGAGAGAGCAATTTGCTGATTCCAAAGAAGATTTTTGCTGCTGGTGGTAATATCTAGAGTGATGGATGCCACTAGTGAGCAGTAGTAAACTGGAACCAGTGATCGAAGCGAGTTTTACCGATTTTTAATATTGAAACGTATTAGTGACATTACTTGTCAACTTTTCTGGGTTTGTTGTTTGTTGAAGATTTATTTAGCATGACTACTACAATTCATATATTTCTTATTTCAAACATAAAAATAAGAACCAAATGTTATATGAAATTTTCTATATTCAACCACTGCAATTCTTGTAACATATATTTTATTTCGGTGTAGGTACTCATTTTTATTCAATATTTTTCTTATAGCTTTATTTTGCAAGACTTGTAATTTTGAGAATACAGCTTCATTGGCAGTGAACAAGGTAGTTGAACAATACAGTAAATGCGGTAGTATAATTGTATAATAAACTATTTTTTTGGAATATGTACTAAGACTATGAGAAGCCCTGTAAGAGTAAATTTGTTTCTTTGGCAATTTTTGAAATAAAGTATTCACAGTGATCCTCAAACTTATTTTACTATCAATACCTAAATATTTAATTGATTCAACATTTTCAATTATTTCAGCACTTATCCTCACTGTGATAGTATTTTCATTTAGGTATTTCCCTGTTAGCATACATTTTGTTTTAAAAGCATTCAATTTTAGTTTATTTACATTTAACCACTTTATGACTTTTGCCAAGTCAGAATTTAGCATTTTTGGAGCAATGTCTATATTTTCATCTGATATGTATATGAATGTATCATCTACAAATATCTTAATTTTACAATATTCTAAAATATTACAAATGTCATTAATGTATAAAATAAATGCTGGTGGACCTAGTGTTTACGACAGAAATAGAGCAAGACAATGTAGATCCAATTTTGGTTTTCTGACTTCTGTAAATTAAGAAATTTGTAGAATTTTGTTTAAATCCATAGTGATGCAACTTTGTAAGTAATTTATCTCTGTCAATAGTCTCAAACACCGTTTTGAAGTCCAATTCAGAATATTTATAGACGGAAAAACCAAAATCGTTTTTGTTTTTTGAGTTTTGACATCTCTAAAGAAACTGCATATCACCTTTGAGACTCTTTCTCCTCTACAAGGACGCATCATAATTTCTATCTGACGTTTCGTTTTAGTCACCAATTATCAACATTTTACTTACCCCGAATTTTCGCATAAAAGAATAGAGTTTATATTGATTTCAAGAATGTATGACATGACAGATTATCACTTATTTATTCGATTAAGCCATCAATTAGATTTATTCATTTACTATATTTTACCAGTGGCTATTTCTTTATAGTGAGAGAACGTGTAACATTACAAGAAGAGTTTGCACAGGAGCTAAATGGAAGCACATAGTTCATATTTTAAATTACTCACCTTCCCCAAATACGCCATAGCCATTGCGTTTCCAGCATTAGCAGCCTGAGTAAAATAATGTAGAGCTTTTTGGTAATCTAGATCTACCCCTCTACCGCCCTGGTAATGCAACTGGCCTAAGCCCACCTAAAAACAAAGTTACAAGTCAATAGTTCTAAGGAACTTTTCATTCAACCCTTATAGAACCAAGTGACGACAATTTATTAAAATATGCAGTAACTGCTGTGAATATTTCATCCGCACTCCTATGATAAGTATGATAATAATAAGAATACGAATTTATTCACATCAATTACAAATTGTAAACAAATTGATATGCTTCAAAAGAAAAATATCCTTGTATCTGGATATCATGCTAACACAACAATACTGTTACACTAAACTGAGAGGGCTAAAAAAAAATTATATAATATAAATGAAATATGTACATTAATTTTGGATTGTAGATTAGCAATGAAGAAAAGATATTTGTATATTAGTTTTTTTATAAATTACATCATGTTTATATCAGTTTTCAAAAGCCACTAGTATAAATCTATTTTTAATAATGATATTCGGTTTTCTCTAATATATTTTGGTAAGTTATTTGTACTTATTATTATTCAATATTATTCTCATATCTTTATTTTGCAGGACTTGTAATTTTGAGAATACAGCTTCATTGGCAGTGAACAAGATAGCTGAACATTATAGTAAATACGGTAGAATAATAGTATTATAAACTATTTTCTTAGAATATGTACCAAGACTATGAGAAGCTCTATCAGAGTAATTTGTTTTTTTGGAAATTTTTGAAATAAAGTATTCATCGTGATCATCAAACTATCAATGTATATACCTAAATGTTTAATTAATTCAACATTTTCAATTATTTCAATTTATCCTAACTGTGATAATATTTTCATTTAGGTATTTCCCTATTAGCATACATTTTGTTTTAGAATTATTCAATTTAAGTTTATTTACATTTAACCAATTTATGATTTTTGCCAAGTCAGAATTGAGCATTTTTAAACCAGTACCTATATTTTCATCTGATATGTATATTAATTTATTATCTGCAAATATCTGAATTTTACAAATGTCATTAATGTACAAAATAAATAGTAGTGGACCTAGTTTACTTCCTTGTGGTATACCAACAGAAATATTTTTTGAGCCTGATAATGCAGATCCAATTTCGGTTTTTTGACTTCTGTCAATAAAATAGTTTTGTAGAATTTTGAACACACATACTTTATATCAGTAATGATGTAATTTTCTAAGTAATTTAATAATAATATCCTCCAATCATCCTCCTATTTCATACAAAGGATACAACAAATAATATATAGGGTGGCCCAAAATTGCTTACTAGATGGTGAAATTTTGTTTCATTAAAAGTCTTGTAGTTTTTGACATTTTCAGCATTCCATTTTAAAAAAGAAACTTGCTTATATTCAGTTAGTTCCACAATTTCTCCAAATATCAACTTTTTTTGGACTAGGTTTGCTTTAATATACTCGTTTTATCTCGTCCAGCATTATTTTCCGTTAAGGTGGCGAAAAAACCATATAAAAGTCATGCTGAAGTCTGATTTTTTGTGAAAACCCCTTCTCACGTCTGACTTTAACACCCTGTAGAATCAGAGGATCAAGTATAACCACTATGCCAATTTATCGAAAAAGTTGGTCAGCTATTTGCATTTTTTAATGCTATTATTGTTATTAGTCGTCTGCTTTTTTCGTTTTATTGCCGTTATAATAGACGAGGGTCGGTTTGTATGTTTGTTTAAGAATTATTTAGCATGATTGCTACAGTTAGATTCTTTTAAACAAGTACAATAATTACATAAAAATGAAAGACGAAATCCAGTACACTCTAAGAATTTCAGTCAACAATTATCAATATATATGTGTACTCAGTGACAGAATTGTTACACAAAGAAAAAATATTTTCTTCAACTTGAATGTTTTGCAATGAGGTAGTCTTACATCAAGAATGAAACGATAACATTTTCACGAAATTTTATTGACAAGTAATAAGAAAAAAATAATATGTGGGGCGACCCTGCAGTTGAATACACTCTGTATACGTCTAGGCATCGACAAAATGAGATGATCCAAGTCTGGTTGTGGCACCTCATTCCAGCTCGAACGTCATGGATTAGGTGTGGAAGAGTCTGTGGCGGATGGTGCAAAGTAGATAGTCCCCATCATATCCCACACATGTTCGATGGAATTTAAATACGATGAACGGCAAAACATTAACGCCTGCTTCTTGAAGAAAGTCCGTAGTTAATCGAGCAATATGAGGACGTGCGTTGTCTTGCTGACAAAGGTCGTGGGGACGGCCCTCTAGATACGGTAGTAAAGTGGTTTGTAGGACAGCAAATCCAATTTCACGCCATACCTAGATAGAATCGCGAATTCGTCGCTGAAGATGACATTATGCCATTCTGCCTCCCAATGTTTCCGTTCTCTGCTCCAGTTCAAACGTTGACGACAGTGGTCCGCAGTCATAGGAAGTACTAACCGTGGACGGTATGAAAAAAGTCCAAAGGATCTAATGCGGCGAGAGAGTGTACGCATAGTAACAGGTCTACCTTCTTCTCCAAACCATTGGTCAGCGATCTGACGCGAAGTAGCAAAACGGTTCGTAGGGCTAGCTGCCTGAAGCGCCTATCTTGACGCTCTATGGTACGCCTCGGTGGACCATTTGGCTTTCTTCGTGTTCCTCTACCTTCTTCTATCCACACACGATACACACGCATTACCTTCATCGCAGTACAATTAACACGGCGACCAATTTCGCGATAGGACAAACCAACATCTCGTTAGACAATAATTCTACCCCTGTCATAGTCGCTAACATGGTGATAATTTGGACGCCTTCGAACTCGAGGCATTCTGTTATGCTTAACTACTAGTAAATGAAAGGGCATTAACTAAAAATATATGTACTACTCAGCTATCAGAAACTGCTTACTTCACAAAAACTAAGAGAACAGTTTAACAAATGTAAACAAAAACAAAGATAAAACGTTGACATTGTTGCTACAGCATACTTTAAATATAGTCATTATGCTGCCAAAAAAACAAGTTGGAGAAATTATTTTTTCTGAGTGTATGTCACTGAGTACCGGGTGCGCCATATTTCATGTCGGTATTGAAACATCGAATGACTTTGATATTTACCAACCGAGTGATTTGGTTCCTACGTGTTTTTGAAATTTCATTTACTACAATTTTAGTCATGAATCGCTTTCCACCGAAACAACGCGCCGAAATTGTCACAATGTACATTGAAAATCGTCGTTCAGTTGTGTTAACGCAACGTGCGTATCGTCGAAAATATCGTGGCAAACAGGCACCGTCTGACAACACTATCCGTCGTTTGGTTTCGAACTTTCTTTAGTACGGGACAGTGGGAGATCGTCAACATACCGTTCATCAACGACCAAGACGTTCTAATGAATGGGTTGAAGTGGTCAGAGACAGCGTTGCCCAGAACCCAAAAGTGTCGTATCGTCACCGCGTTCAGCATTTTGGCATCAGTGGAACCACGTTGCGGCGCATTTTGACGGATGATTTGCATTTGTTTCCTTATAAGGTGCAGTTAACACAAAAAATATTGCCAACTGACCGTCCACGTCGCTTGGAATACGCCGCAGTCGCTCGCATGGTTGATGCTGAACCTGATTTTTGGAAGCAAATTGTGTTGACCGACGAGGTCCATTTCACGCTCTCTGGCGGCGTTAATAAGCAAAACTGCCGCATTTGGGGGACGGAAAATCCACATGAGATCCACGAAATGCCGTTGCAAAACCGGAAAGTGACTGTTTGGGCCGGCGTTTGCGCCAAAACCATCAATGGGCCATTTTTCTTCAACGAAAACGAAATAGTCGATGGAAATTGATATCGGTGGATGTTGGCTCATTGTCTGCCCACAAATGCGTGAAAAAGGTCTTGATGGTTACTGATTTCAACAAAACGGTGCGCCATGCCACACTGGCAATGAAACAATCCAGTTTCTGCAACGAAAATTCCCTGGACGTCTGATGTCAAAAAGAGGTGACATTGACTGACCACCCAGGTCTCCAGATTTGACCCCACCGGACTTCTTCTTGTGGGGTTATTTGATAAGTCAAGTGTACGCCAGTAAGCCCCAGACCTCTGAAGAACTCATGGCAAACATTCGTACCGCAATCGCCGCCATACCACCAGAGATGCTCGAAAAGGTAATGGAAAAAGCAGCAAAACGGCCACATTTTGTTTTGGAAAATAAAGGTGGCCACTTGTTAGATGTTGTGTTCAAAAACTAGTACCAATAAATTGTAAAGGGCCATATTTAATAAAAATAATCGATATATAGAAATCAGTTTTCCGTTTTCAAAGTTATTTCATGTTTACATACCGACATAAAAGATGGCGCATCCTGTATATTAATATTCATAAAAAATTTAATTAAAATGATATTTTACCTCTTTTTATCAGGGTTTTTTCTCAAGAAACAGGGGTGGTTCTCACAAAATCGGGTGCAACTGGCTACAAAACAGCTACAAAGCTGGATAAGTACGGATGGTGGTTTTCGTCAAAACCTTGCTACTAAAAGGAATCATATATTGTAAAGAAATTTGACGCCCACTTGAGCCTACTTCTTCCGAACATGCATCAATGCACGTGGTTAGATGGTATAAAAAAAGAGCTTACCGCTGAAGAGGTTAAATCCCATAAAAATGGACGGAGTAGCACCAAAAAACAACCAAAACAAACTACCAAAGGTAAGGTAGATAAGAAAAAAGGTACTATTCCGTAAACTGGTGATTGGGGCCCAATATCCAAAAATTTGGAAACCAAATGAAGGGCCGATACACATTCTCAACCAAGGGTTCCGTAGGAAACGACCGACACGAATTTTCAATCAATGTCAAAGGTAGGAGGGCATACCAAAATTCTACGCTCCACAGAATCAACACTAAAACTATATCGAAACCAAAATATGTGCCAAAAATAATAATGACGAATGAAAAATTGCGATTTCCAAACCAAACTGTCTAATATTCAATCTATGCATAACGAAATAAAGTTTTGCCTAAGGAAAACAAAAGAATCCCAAAAACCTGACAAAAGCATTCAGAAATTAAGAAAAGTCCCGCAATCGAACCTACACACAACATCGCTGGTTGCCTAGTAGATCCTAGAAAGCTTTCATGCTCGGAAAAAACACTGACAACTGATGTGTTTTCGTTCAATAAGAACAACAATGATTAAAGGTTGTTATTAAATCTATTAATCTACTAAAGTAATTAGCACAAACAGCAGCAACTGCATAAAAATACGGTTGTGTTATTTCCAAAGATTGTGGTGTTTTATCAGGCGAGGCCATGTAAAGGTTCTGAAAAACGTTGCAGGTAAAAGAAATCAGTTCACGAGGAACCAACGATGTTTTATGAGGAAATTTTTGGAATAAAACGATTGAGTCATTAATAAAATGTTATAACATCAGTGTCCAAAAGATCTCAACACAATACTGAGTCGGTAAGAAATAAAGATATAATATGTGTGAAATTATACTTTCAGGATTGGGTAGTTTCAAGCTCAATAGATCAATAAATTATAAAATTTACCAAAGAAAATCTTTGAAAAGGGTTTGGCCTAGGATTCAGCACTCTATCATTAATAAAGATATATCCAAATTACTGGTAAGTGATCAAAATAGAAGAAAAAAAGGTATGTGATTTTGGCATGTTACAATGCATAACAGTCATTGGTGCCTTGTTACATTGATATCTACGAAAACTGACCACCTTCCATTATAACGGCAATGAAATGAAAAAGACAGCAGAGGGGAATAACAGTAATACAAAAATTGCCAATAGTTGGTCAACTTTTTCGTCAAATTTGCACAGTGAACTTGATCCTCTGACTCTATAGGGTGTCAAAGTCAGATGCAAAAAGGGGTTTTTATAAAAATTTAGACTTTGGCATGACTCTTATATGGGTTTTTCGCCACCTTAAGGAAAAATAATGCTGGTCGAGATAAAATGCTTAATTTTGAGTGTTTTAAAATAAACTTGATTCACAAAAGTTGATATTTGTAGAAATGCATGGGATTAACTGAATATACGCAAGAATTTTAATAAAACAAAATTCTATCTACAGTTGTAGGATTACCCTTCAATTGCGGGACACCCTGTATAACAGAAATTACATACTTGCGCTTGGACATCACCCTTCTCGGCCAATAATTGATAATATTCAATGAGGTCGTTGTCTAAAATCCCCGATGTATATCCATTTTCAACTTCATCCAGAAGACGTATTCTTTGGATAGCTGCACCTCCACCGAACGTCACACCTTGACTCACTAAAATTTTAACAAGCATGCACTTGATATAACTAGGTTTATTTAAAACTCTGAAAATGGTCAAATATCTTTGGAATTAATAGAGCAAGACTTACCGAATTTTGAACAGGAGAGCAAGCGATTTGCTATTTACTTGTATTTGGAAATAACACTACTGCCCTATAGTATATTTTTATTAACAGTGCTCTCTAGTATAAAATCCAAGTTCCATCCGATCTACTTCGAAATATGGAAATAAAGTCAAAGTGCGGAAAATGGTAGAAATATTATACTAAATTCATTTTTGAGATTCAGTAGATGTAACAGTAACAAGTATAAGACGTTTTGTTTTTTTGTCTTAGATTTATTTAGCATGATTGCTACAACTACATTCTTTTAAAAAACTACAACAATTACATAACATGCCGATATTTGAAAAACAAAATTTGCATCTGTAAGAATTTTCAGTCCGTGAAATATTCCTTTAATTCTCTTTTAATAATATTTAAATTACAAGTAGACTTTATATCATTATTTAGTTTATTAAATTCAAGTAATCCTTTCTGAAATATTGATTCACTATTTATATTACTATTGCAATTTTGTAAATGAAAATCTATAATTCGTCTTGTATAATGATTGAGTCATTATTTTAAATATAAAAATAAGAACCAAATTTGATATTTTTTCTTTATCCAACCACTGCAAATTCTTGTGACAGATTTTATTTAGGATGTACTTATTTTTATTCAATATTATTCCTATAACTTTATTTTGCAGGACTTAGAATTTTGATAATACAACTTCATTGGAAGTGAACAAGATAAATGAACAATATAGGTGAATAACTGTATCATAAACTATTTTTCTGGAATAGGTATGTGGTAACTTTTCAAATCACAGTGATCCTCAAACTGTAGTTTACTATCAATATAAATATATACAGTGCTTTTCTTTAATGACCCCCTCCCCTTTGATTTTTTGAACGGATCAATTCAAAAAATTAAAACTTGAGGTAATGAAATTGATGCGTGGACACCATATTTTAGAGTAAAATGGAAAGATGAAAATGACCAGATGGCCGCGGGGCGCCATCTTGGAAAAAAATTATATGAAAACAGGGTACAGTGGCACATCATTTTGAAGCTCCTGACGAGTACTTTATAACCCTAGAATATAAAGTCAATACCTTTACCTACTACAAAATGGTGGTACATTTAATAATTACTTGAATACAAACCCACTAATATGCATATCTCTACAAATAATAGTAATTCCGTGCCGTATTCACAGCAACAGCGGTAAAAACTTGTTTTGTTATTTTTTGTCGACAGTGACAAAAATATCAGTAGGAGAACAAACATCATTGTACAGTTAAAATATTCTTATTTAGTTTTCGGTTTTAGATCTAGATATTGTTTGGACTATTTTTAAAATGGTCAATTCTCGTCGATTGGAAGAAAAAATCAAAGCGATTTTTATTTATGGTGCGACGCGTAACTTTCACGAGACCGAAAGGATTTTTAATGATCGTTTCCCGAATCATCCTATCTGTAGAAAATATTTAAGGGAACTAGTATCTAAATTTACAGCTACTGGTAGTGTAAACAACAAAAAGCCCCCAAGTCATCCGACCATCCCGGAAGAAAAGCAAGTTCAAATAATTGGTGATATCATAGTAAGTCCCCAACAGTCTACTTCCTCCATCACGAATATATGTCCTTCTACTGTATGGAGACTTTTGAAAAAGAATAAGTATCACCCATACAACATTCAAACGGTACATCAGCTAACTGAAGATGGCCCTGATCGAAGAACAGAATCCTACCTATATCCAAAATATTTGTGATAAGTGATGAATGTACATCTTTTCTCAACGGTAATATGCATAGACAAAATTGTCGTTATTCGAGTGACACCAATCCTCACGTCTTCCGGGAAACTCGTACTCAATATCCACAAAAATTAACGTTTGGGCTGGGATATTGGGAAATCGTATTGTGGGGCCTCTATTCATCGAACAAACTTCAACCGGGGAACTGTATTTGGATATGCTGGAAAATACTATTGACCCTCTAATCAGCGAAATCGTCGAAGCGAATCCTAATGAATTCGATACTGATATTGTATTCCAGCAAGATGGTGCTCCACCACACTACTACAGACAAGTTATTAATTATTTAGATAACAATTTCCCCGGTCGTTGGTTTGGCCGTCAAGGTACTGTGGAATGGCCAGCTCGCTCGCCAGATCTGACACCTTTAGACTTTTTCATGGGGCTATTTGAAGCAAAAGGTGTACGAAACTGAACCTGCTTCAGTATTAGATATACGGCTGAGAGTAACAAATATTTGTAGAAATAACGATGTTACTATGTTTGAAAATGTTCGACGCGAAATTACGGACCGGCTGTTATTGTGTTAAGAAGTTCAAAGAAACCATTTCCAGCATCTTCTAAACTGAACCCAACGTGTTTATTCGAATGATCAAGTTAAATGTCAATGTATTCAGGTAATTCTTAAATGTACCACCATTTTGTAGTAGGTGAAGGTATTGACTTTATATTCTTCGGTTATAAAGTACTCGTCAGGAGCTTCAAAATGATGTACCACAAGACCCCTGTTTTCATATAATTTGTTTCCAAGATGGCGTCCAGCGGCCATCTTGACATTTTCATCTGTCAATTTTACTCTAAAATATGGTATCCACGCATCAATTTCATTACCTCAAGTTTTAATTTTTTGAATTGATCCTAACTGTGAAAGTATTTTCATTTAGAAATTTTCATATTAGCATACATTTTGTTTTAGAAGCATTCAATTTTAGTTTATTTACATTTAATTTATGATTTTTGCCAAGTAAGAATTTAGCATTTTTAAAGCAGTGTCTATATTTTTATCTGATATGTATATCAATTTATGTTCTGCAAATATTTGAGTGTTACAATAATATAAAATAGCACAAATGTAATAAAATGTATTAAATAAATAGTAGTGGATCTAGTTTACGACTTTAGGGTACCTAAACAGAAATATTTTTTGAGCTTGATAATGTAGATACAATTTTGGTTATTTGTCAATTAAATAGTTTTGTAGGATTTTGAATACATATCCTTTAAATCCATAGTGATGCAACTTTGTAAGTGATTTATCTTTGTCAATAGTTTCAAACGCCATTTGAAGTCCAAAAACACTGTCACTGTATGTTTCCTGTTGTCCATACATCTCCTCCAGTCCTCTAAAACCATTTGTAATGCCGTTTCAGTTGAGTGTTTCTACCTGAATCTAGCTTGAAATTTGATAAAAATTTTATTTCCCTCGATAAATTCGATGATCTGTTCGTAAATTATTTCTTGAAAAAGTTTTTTAACATTTATCAGAACATTTATTGGCCGCATATTAGTGTACAGCTTAGAATTCTTAACTTGGCTCTAACAGTAGTTATGGTAGAACATTTCGGTTTTGTTGGAAATTCGCCATATTTTAAACAGTAATTTATCAGGATTAATATTCTTGCTCCAATAATATCAAAATGCTATACCAGTCTGAATAGATAGAATCTTAGATGACATACCCTTATCAGCAACTAATCTGTAGAAATCCAAGGCCTTTTCGCAACTAGTGGCAACAGTGTTTCCAGACCAATATCGGTACCCCAAAGCCATCTGTGCCCAGGTATTACCACCAATTGCTCCGAAGGTGTAGTGTATAAGAGCTTTTGGTTGGCTAACATTCACGGCTAGACCAGTGGCGTACAAAAATCCTAAAATTGTTAATTATTTTTAACATTATGCGTTCTAGAAATGACTGTACGAAAATTATGTCAAGTGGCAATTATCATAAAATAATGCTTAGATTTTCATTAAAATGAAAATTTTGGTAGATATTTTACTAAACATCAACAAATCTCTCTTGAATTGTTTTCCTTCGATGCGCCATTTTTGAGTAAAAAAATAAAAACCGTTCTATTGTCTAACTTGCAAAATTATTATTAATTCAATTGGAAAAATTATACACATTACGGGTAATGAACAACAACTGACACCATAAACATAACATTAAAACCAACGAAATGATTATAAAAATTGTTGAAAATGGCCCACTGCACTTAGTATGCATGCTTCCGCCCTCCTTCTGATGGAATTGATCACTCATTGAAATATCCCTGGAGTGTTTTTTATGCTATCACAAGCTGCAACTATTCTTTCTCTTAGTTCCTCCACAGTTATAATAGGACTTGTGTACACTAGTGTCTTAAGATAGCCCCACAAAAGTAAATCTAAACTGTTGAGGTCTGTGGACTTTGGTGGACATTCTTGGGGCCACCGCGGCCAATCCAACGATTTGGATAAACAGTTTGTAAATAATTACGAACCACTACACGAAATGCGCTGGTGCGCCATCATGCATGTTCCACATATTGTTTCTTATTATTAATGGAACATCATCACGCAGCAAAGGCAACTGTTGTTGAAGAAAATTGAGGTAAGTCTCTCCGTCAAGTCGTCCCGACAAGAAGAATGGGCCAATAAAGTGGTTGCCAATAATTCCTGCCCTTACGTTAACCGAAAATTGATGACGGAAGTGGGTTTCAGTTACGGCATAGGGATTTTCTTCTGCCCACAAATGATTATTGTGGAAATTCTGAATGGCATTTCGAGAAAAATTAGCTTCGTCCGTGAATTGATTCAAATTGCTGATTTTGTGTAATTTTTTGAAGATACCACTGACAAAAGGTCACACGCCTTGGAAATCAATGGGAAGTAATACCTGTACTCTTAAAATATGGTAAGGATATAACAAAAAATCCACTAAAATTCTCCAAATAATTTGATGGCAAATATTTAAGTGTCTAGCGATCTTCCTCGTACTCGTTCCAGGATGTTCTTCGAGTTCGTGCAGCACTGCTTCCTCAATTTCAGGTGTTCTCACACTTAGAGGTCTACCCTCAGATGTTGCTTTTCGGACAGAACCAGTTTCAACAAGACGACGATGAATATTAGAAAAGGTTCGACTATCTGGAAAAGCACGATCAGGATATCTCTGGTGATAAATCCGTCTGGCTTGCTCAACATTACCGTCGGCAAGGCCATATACGTAATGCATTTCCGAGATTTCTGCATTTGAATAATTCACCATTATTAACAAGATTGTAAAAACTAAATAATGAAAAAGATGTCACAGCGAACAGATTTGAATTACAGAGACTTGTCAGATGTCAAAAGCCAGTGACATATTCCAGGGCAACTAGATATTTATTGCTAAAATGCATTCTTCAATTATTAGATTAATTTTCTCGGATAATAGAACGGTTTTTATTTTTTTACTTAAAAATGGCGCATCGAAGGAAAACAATTCAAGAGAGATCATTTGTTTTAAATTGAACGGGGAATTCAAAAATAGTTTTTGTAAGGAAACATTTTTGGACCATAGTTTATAAAGTAAACTGATATTAATTTTTCATGTAGATTCACACCCTCAAATATTTGCATATCATTAAGGAACACCCTGTATAGAATTGACTTTATACTAGCGTTTAGACCGCCCCAATGGCTTTTTCAAAGTACAAATCAAAAAAGACAAGGAAAAAATGCAGCTTGTTCGAAAAATAGACAGAGGTATTTTAGAGTTAAGAAATAGGAAAATAGGTTTCTATAAACATGGGTCCAGAAATGCAGAGTTTTCAAGATACAGGGTGATAAATTTTAAAATATATATTATCTTATAATAATAATAATAATATTTACTCGATTCTGTTGAAACTGGACAATATCATTTATAAGAGGCTAATTTAACCCCAAATGAATTAAAATTATTACCTCCAGTGGCGTCACGGGGGCACCTTAGCGAATATTATTGGCAAAAAAATCTACGTCACTGCCTTTTTGGTAACTTCATTATTTGTTGTTTGATTAAGCATATGAAAATACATCTTCTTTGCCTCTTGAATTTTTTGCGTATCTATCTTCGTTTTCGAGAACAAAAATAAATTCCGTTTTATTGCATGTCACTGGACAAAATAGGTTTATTAATTTTTGCTACAAAAATCACAAGTGCCTTGGAAAACAAAAAAATCAACAAAATTTCTAGGAAAAAAGTACACTACAACAAATATTGGAAATGTCCATTTCCGTACCCCTTCTCATTCGACGAATCAATGAACGACGAACTGGAGCTAAAATTCGAGGTCTATTTCTTATTTATTCGCAATCATTTACGATTTTATTTCTCAATTCTTCTATTGTTTCTATTTTGGTCCACCTCTTCCAACCCAATTTTCACCAAAGGTGTTATTCAGATGAGTTCTGACAGGTATACTAAAATGAGGATGAGGTCCATCGTGCATAAAAGTTATTTGGTTACGTAAATTTAGGGAAACTTCTAGCACTACGGGCAATTCTTGTTGAAGAAACTCTAAGTAAGATCCACCGTTTAATCTCAAGGGTAACAAGAAAGAACCAATTCAATTGTCACACATTTAAAGAAAATTGTTCCTGGTAGCGGCATTGTACGTAAGCATGAAGATGTTTGTCACTCCATACATGCGTGTTATGGTAATTAACAATTCCGCCGAAATCCTGCTTCGTCCGTAAAAAATATGGTTTTATTAAAATTCCTATTATTATTAACCTTCTGATATTACCATTGGCAGACCTGTAAACGAGGTAGAAGATCTCTTGGTAATAATGCTTGCACACGTCGGACATGATAGGGATACAAAAGTTGCTCGGAAGCCTCCCACATAGTGCTGTTGGAATGATTACCCCCTAATCTAGGTCCTGGTGTTGATATCAGGCTTTTGTTCCTACAGCACCTAAAACTGTTTCGTCAAACTCAGGCGTTCTTATGGATCTCGGCCAGCCTCTATCATTGGTGGGAATTGCAAAACTTCCTAAATAACATTATTGTCAAAAACAAAGAAATAAGAAAATTTACCTCGTTCCCGTAATCTGCGGTCTACGCTTTCAAAGGTTTTACTATCTGGAAGTTGCCGATGGGGAAACGCTTCTGCATAACAGTTATTACAAGCACGTGCATACATTAACATACATGTCTGCCATTTCCTCAAAAGTGTAATTTTCCATCACACAAACCGAGACAAAAACTTTTTAGAGAAATTTCGCAAAGAAAATTACGTGAATAATTATTTTCTAGGAGAACTGACGCACAAATCTCAAACCTCCTTGCAGAAATGATTTTTTGTTTTCCAATAAACTTGTGCTTTTTCATCAAACATTAATAAACACATTTGGTCCAGTTACATACAATAAAACGGTTTTTGTATGTCGAAAACGAAGTGAGATACGAAAAAAAAATACAAGAGACAAAGGAGTTGTGTTTTCAGATGCTTAATCAAACAACAAATATTAAAGTTACAAAAAAGGCAGTAGTGTACATTTTTTTGCCAATAATATTAAATAAGGTGTCCCCGGGACGCCACTGGACCTTATAGTTTTAATCTATTTAGGGCTAAATTAGCCTCTTAATACAACAAATAATATTGCCAAATTTCAGCAGAATCAAGTTGATATTTTTTAAGTCATTTTTTTTAAAATTTATCATCTCGTATGTTGAAAACTTTTTTCATATTTTTAACAAGAAATTACCCTCTAAAATATCTCCGTCTATTTTTTCGAACACCCTGTATATCATCATTGACAAAAAAGTAACAGTAAGTAAACAGCCAATTCTAAATATTATATGATTTGTTTAGCGCCGGAAAGAAAAGATGGAAATTTATCAACATGAAACCCACATGATGTTTTACGAGTAGATATAAGATTGAATATTTTACTAGTCACTAAAAGTGTTTCAATTTTGACGACCTCCATTAGGATCTCTGAAACACTAAGAGTTATGATGTCGGTAAAATGAGGGTAAAAGTTGCGTGTTTAGGTAACTAAGAAAATGGTTGTCTATCTCAGGAATGCTTTCTAAGATAGGTGAAAAAAAAACGGATTTTCCCGTAATCATTTTTACTCTTTCCTGACTTCATTTGAGGTGGGATTTTAAAATAAATTGTACCTTGCCACTTTTTCTCCTGTATAAAGTGACAGTGGAATTGGAATTTCAATATGACGTCTCATCTGTAGTCCTAAATTATCAACTTTATTTTTTCTCATGGACCTCATATTTAGATTTTTGCACCTGTGAGTAGTATTAATTCTGTTTCCGAAAATATCTCAGTCCTTCGATTCGAATTTCTAAAAAACGTGGCCATATTTCTAGGGTGAAAGTGCATCCAAAGATAAAAAAGTCCGTATAAGTATAGGCAGAGGTACTGGCGGCCCAAACCATCAATTTAAGTGAGAAAAGTAGTGAGAAAAAAATGCGGCAAAAGTGAGAAATGGTGAATTTATACATACAACAGTGAGTTAGTTTTCTGAGAAATTGAATATTATGCCAAATTTAAACGAATGAATAAGAATGTATGAAAAAACGAGAATAACTTATATAAGGTCTTTGTTACTCTTTTATTGACGTAAGCAAAAAAAATATTCAAATGTATGCACATTTTAAGATCAAATGCATACGATGCATAAAAGAAACATAAAAAATATAACAAATTCTTGTAAATGCGAGAGGGGCCGTTCAAGTATTACATGAGCACTAAGGGGGGGCGGGGGGTTCTTTGCTTGGCTTATTTGGATGGCATGGGAGGTAGGAGAGTCTAGATGATGATTACGTCATCGGTAGTTATTTACTTTTTTACACGAATGGCAACCCTCACATTGTCTGCTTGAAAACGAAACGCATTTTCGG